GCAGTGTCCCCGGTTCCCCACCCTTTGTGGGGGAAGGGCAGCGCAGGCTGCGCGGGGCCCTGCTCGTCCCCGGGGTTTCTCCCGAAATCCCGGCGGGAGCCTCTTCCAGCGTCTCCATCCTCGGTGGTCTTCGGACTCGGGGCCCCACCTTAATGGAGGAGCTGTAAGAAATAGGTGGCCAGGCCTTGAAAAAGCAAAAATGTACCTTTGTGTCTGTATTTTTTTTCTCCCCGTTAATCTTAGGGTCCTTTTTGCAGTAGACGACTCTGTGAAGCATTTATTGTAGCCTGAGCTGTGGTTTGCACTCTGGTGCCTCACAATTAGATCTGTTATATTATTTCATAATATGGTGAAATATACTGGGAGCAGATTACATGATTTAATTGGGGTTTTTTTGTAAGAAAAATTTCTCAAAGGATCAGGCCTTTACAAAGTATCCTGCTGGCTCAAGTGACAAAAGAGTAAATAAGTTCACATTTCTTTCTCTCGTAAAGGTTGCCCCAATTTTTTTGCTACATACACAAAGCTTGCGTTGAGGTATCATATTTACAAAAGCATTTCCTGCTGACACTATCTTCAGACTTCCATGTGTATGTCATACAGCCTACTCCGTTTCCTCCCTCGCTCTTGTAAACTTGTACATGTGAGGGGGAAATAGACTAAATGGCCTTTGTGATGTAGCGTGTCTGAAATACCATGATGTAACACATAGGGCTTGTTTCCTTTTTTTGTTCTCCATGTAATTTTGTTAACAAGCAATTTGGTGATTGTAGATTAACTTTTTGCTTCCCCTCCCTCTTAAAAACTTGTCTTTCTACACTCTGATACTTGGTTACTCAAAATCCACAGTGCTTTAGATTACCCATTTCTGTATGTCTTTTCTAGTCTGACTCTTATTTCAGGCATAATTTACTTTTGGGACATTAGCCCTTACATCGTTTAGGTGTCCAGAAAAATGTCTATAATGGTGAGGAGGTGTGCAAGTTGTTATTTGTAACTTTGCAAGTCATCAATAAACTCTGTTCTAGTTAAACCTCTAGCAGGAAGATGCATCTTGTTCTGTTTTACATCTTTGATTGCTCTTCCAGGCACAAGCTCCTAGGTATTGTTGGAATAAACATGATAATGCCAAGGGAAATAAAACAAGCAGTGGAGTGATGTGCCGAATGGGACGCTGATGTGATTCAAATAGCGAAGGCTCCACCATCCCTGATAGTTTGATTTATTTGTATCTTGTGTTTATGAGGAGTCTAGGACTTTGGTTCTAACCTAACTGCACCATATCACATATTTTTCTGAAATTCCCGTTAAAAGGGCAACATCACTGCTAGTCTTCCTACTTCATGTCTCCTCTTCCTTTCAGATTAGATAGCTCCTAATAAAATTTCTCACTCTTCAGGAGTCTTCACTTGGAAAGTATAAGTCATATCTTCTGAAGTAAATACAATATTTCAGGACTAATTTTCTGGGAAAATAGTTCTCTATATTGCATGTGCTGGTATATCATTCATACTCTTGTAAGTATGCACAGCGTTATTTTTGAATGCATTTGTAACTTTGTCTTAATTGATCTTTTTTTGCATTTACTCTTAGATGTGTATGCAATTTGTCAAACGTTTCCATTTCACTTAACAGTGTGCTACAAGTGATTCTGAAGACTGATGGACAAACGGGGAATTCAGAAGTCGGTTGAATAGATCAGTTAGTTAAGCTAGAGTAAACCTGCAACACAGACCTTATTTAATTAAACAGTAAGCATATTAGAATTAGATTTTTGAGGACAGATAAATGCCTCTGCTCAGTTTCTGAAAGGTAAAGGGTTATACTCTGTAATACTCCTTTGAAGTTGGTGTTACTTCCTCCATACTGGCTTCAGTGCCCTTTTTCTTGACATGTTAAGTATCTTTCCAATGGTGGCGACATATGAAAGTTGCCAGTACTTACAAGTTAACTGATAATCTTGTTTCAAAGATGAAAGCAAAGATGATATCATAAAGCTTTGTGACACGACTATTACTTAGATGAAAACGCGATCTCCTTAATGGTTAATAATTTGCTAGTTACGGGTGCGTGGTCAAAACAAGACTTCATTCTTTGGGTAAAACACTAGAATATGTTGTTTCTGGATGAAGTTGAGGAAGAAAACTGTGTATTTTACATGACTGATCACTTCTAAATTAGGTGCAATATTTGTTTATGCTGGATGGAGAGTAAGCAACACACTAATAACAGTAAAGTAGTTACCAGAGTTCCTTTCTTTCATCTTACGCAGAATATTGTGAAGTTCCAGTTAGTGGGCAAGAAAAGTCATCAGACAATTTTCTGATGACAAACTTGAATGTTTAATCTCTGAAAATATATAAAATATAAAACCCCTCAGAATTTCCTATTTGCTGCACAGCATAATATTTGCTACCATGCTTTCAGTTTCAGGCTTTAGTCACCTCCCTGGGTTTTAGGGCATCCATTCTGGATGTGGTGGGCACATCCTCCTGCCTTCTACTCATGTTCTGTTAGATGCTTCTTCCAAAAGTTCTCTAAAATATAGAGTGAAACAGGATGTTTAAGGAATGATCCCACAAGTGCTAAACGTTCTTGTGTGTCGGTAATTGTTCAGAATGGGGTATACTTTCAACATGCTTTATGAAACAGGTTGAACAGAGCTTTAAAATGGCTATATTTATGGTTTAAACTAAAAGCCCATGTGCCAGTATTGAAATTCTAGTTAAGCCTGTTAGAGCTAACAAATATATTTTAATTGAGGTTTTTATACATCTTATCTGGATGGGTTTTTTTAAGGCTCTAGGCTAA